TCTACAGAGTTTGGACTCATCCAGCTGTGTCTGGCTTAGGTCTGGCTGCTGTGCTCAGCTCCTTCCCGCTGCGGACCAGGGCTAGGACTGAGTCTGGGCGTTCCCGGAACTCAGCAGAAATTCCTACTCGGCAGGAGGGGTGGGGAGGTATGGCGTAGTGGTGGGGGGCGGCCCGAGGGTGTGGGAGAGGGTCCGGCCCACGCTGTGCCTGGGCTGGGACTGGTCCCACCAGCGCAGGTTAGCAGGAAGCTCTCCACACACTCACCAGACCTGGGCTAGGACTGGGTCTCCAGAGGCATTTTCTACATCAAGAAATATTTTTTTATTTTCAGTACTGGGAATTAAGCCCAGGATATTTGTGCTGAGCTACATCTCTAGCCATTTTCTATTTGCAGCTTTTGGCTTGAGAGAAGACCTTGTTAAGCTGCTAAATTGTGCAAGCTGAGCCTGAATTTGGAATCCTGGCTGAGACTCAATATGAACTCAGCTGGGATTATAGACATGTGCCATCAATCCTAGCTGCATCTAAAATTAAAAAAAAAAAAATGTGTGTGGGACATACCTGACTCTAGAGGCTATTTTAGAGTATTTCATTATATTAATTTACAGGCATAACAATTTTAGTAGGCCTCTACTTGAACTTGTTTTCTTCTTTCTTCCCTTTCCCCTTCCTCTCCCCCTTCTCTCCCTGTGTCCATTCTCTCTTTCTTTGTTTTTTCTTTTTTGGTAATTGGAGATTGATAAGCTACATCTCTTAGCATAAAGTTTTTATTTTGAGGCAGGGTCTCATTGTTTCTTAAGTTGCCTAGTATGGGCTCAAATTCATGATGCCTCAGCCTCCCAGACTGCTGCAATTTCAAGTGTGTGCCACCATATCCAGTTTGAACTCAACCTCTTAATTAGACTTTTCTTTAGTCAGTGTATGCATAAAAAAAGTTGATGTTTTGATAGTCTACAATAATTGTCATTGTTTTTCTGTAGGCAACTCAGCTAACTGAGCGCCCGGCCTGTGTGAAGAAAGATTACTCCAACTTCATGGCTTCTCTGAATTTGCGCAACCGCTATGCAGGCGAGGTAATTTTGTCACCACTGTGTCCAAGAATCAGAGCATCTTCTTGGTTTGATGCCAATTGGTTCTTTTTTTGTGGTACCTAAGTAATGGATCTGAGCAATGGGGAATTTACTCGTTCTAGGGGGACTTGAGCATGGGGTCCAACACTATTAGCATATTCTGAGGCATGTACCCCTTATATGCATATTCTAAATATGCTGAGGCATTCTGGGTTTTGGCTTTTTAAAAAAAATTGTAGCAAACGCTTGTTGAGTACCATGCATTCTCCTGGGTACTTGCTGAGATGTGCGTACTATGATTCTGGTTATATAGATACAGAAACTAAGGCTCCTGAAATTAAGTAACTTGCCACAGTCAGGCAAAATATTTTTGGGAGCCACCTGTTAGTTCCACATTGAAGGCTTTCACCCAGCACACTGCAGTTTTTTTATCTTGACCAGAGAGGCCCATCACCTCTCTGGGCCTCAGTTCCCTTATTCATAAAGCACTGAAACTCATTGACAACTATGCGAGTTTGTCAATAGCCTGATCTCAGGGTGGTTTTCCCACCCCACTGTTCTGCCACTTATCTATTCCAGTGGCTGCTCTTTGCTCATGCAGTTGAACTGTCGGAGTGACTATTGTTTTTTGTTTTTTTTTATGACTATTGTTTTTTAAGGAAAGGGTTTTGCAGTGTAGTTCAGACTGGCCTCAAATTCATGCAGTCCTCCTGCTTCAGCCTCCCAAGTGCTGGGATTGTAGGCATGTGCCACCAGGCGTGGCTCTCTGCTGAGTTCCTGTTGAACACATGCTAGGAATTGCTGAGTCTGTTCTGCATTGGTTTGAGTACCCTGGTGGCAGAAGGAAATCTGAGTTTGGGAGATAGATTTTTTTTTTTTTTTTTTTTGAAAGAGTCAGATCTTCTTGACAATTTGTGAATTGAAAATAGAACTTCTAGGAAAAACTTATGTCTGACTTTAAAGACAATGAGGCTGCTCAGCATTAAAGTGTTTGCCTAGCGTGCATGAGGCCCTGAGTTTAGTCCCCTGTACCTCAAACAGACAAAAGAATGCAGCTGATCTTGTTTCAGTCGTTGAATCTAGAATAATTTTATTTATCTAGTTCATGTTCATATAGTCCTGTCATGGGTCTGACCATGGACACAGAAATAGAGACAAAGTCCTCATCTGCATCATTGGGAATGCTAACAGGCATTTCTAGAAGAGAAATTTCTTCTAGAAAAATCTGTGAGGGGCTAGCATGAGGTCTGGTGTTCATCCTCCAGCACACACACACACACCCACACACACACACACACACACACACAGAGTCACTGCTAGTTGATTTATGAGCATAGTGAGGTGGCTCCCAGGGTCTCAACAAGATGATGGCTGCATATGAGTGTGCTTCTTGCAGGTATATGGAATGATTCGGTTCTCAGGTGCCACAGGTCAGATGTCTGACCTGAACAAAATGATGGTGCAGGATCTGAATACAGCTTTGGACCACAGTAATCCCCAGCACTATACACAGGCCATGTTCAAGCTGACTGCAATGCTCATTAGCAGCAAAGGTAATGCACATAAGTTCTGGGGAATTCTGGGTCACTTCTAAGTGAATGTTTGCTGAAGTGATTCTTAATAAATTGTAGTCCTTGCTGAAGAAAGAGGTGATGCACCTCAAGTAAGCTCTCTGTTGCCTCTCCGATGAGTGAAAAATAAATAAAAGGCCATGTTGGCTCCAGTTGAGGCTGACTGTCCTGTCAACTGCAGAAGCTGTGTTTTTGGTTCCAGATTGTGACCCACAGCTTCTCCATCATCTGTGTTGGGGACCCCTTCGGATGTTCAATGAGCATGGCATGGAGACTGCCTTGGCCTGCTGGGAGTGGCTGCTGGCTGGCAAGAATGGAGTGGAAGTGCCGGTAAGACACTGACCCTCAGTGTGGGCCAGGTACGAGATGGAAAGAGTCTGTCCTGGCAAGACCCTGGCAAGCCTGTCACCCTCTCAAGTCTTGGTCTTCCTCATAGATTGTGGTGTTCATGCACAACTATACAAATGTGAGAACACAGAACACATGTATGGTAGAGTGGTGTTTGTAGAGCTGGTGTTTTTTTGTTTTTGTTTTTGATTTTTTTCAGAAGCTCCATAGGGGCAGCCATTTCTCTATTGAAATTGGAAGATTGCCAGTTGAAGGCCTTTTGTTTTCTCTGTTTACTAATCTATTCTCCCTTTCTTGTAGTCATTCCATATGATTTTTTGGCTTTGTTGGCTTCTGTTGTCTCTGTCTAGGATACTCTTGAGTGTTTTCTGGAGTGCCAGTTTGGTGCTCATAAATATTTTGAGTTCTTTTTCATGCAGTATCCTTATTTTTTCCTCTCTCTTCTCTCTCTCTCTCTCTCTCTCTCTCTCTCTCTCTCTCTCTCTCTCTCTCTCTCTCAGCTTGAACTCAGTCATCCTCATCCCTCAGCCTCCCAAGTGCTGGGATTATAGGCATGCACCACCACGCTTGACTTTTCCATCTATTTTGAAAGACAAAATTGCTGGATATATTAATGTGGGTTGGTGGTAATTTGTTTTTAGGGTTTGAAATATTTCATTCCAAGCTCTTCTGCCCTCTAAAGTTTATGTTGAGAAGTCTGCTGTAATTACAATGGGTTTATCTTTGTTTGTGATTTGTTTTTATTTTTCTCCAGTTAACCTTATTGGTCTTAGGGTCAATTAGTAGCTCTTGGTGAATTTGTCTTGCTCTCCTATCACTTTTAAGTCTTTTCTGAGTAATTCATTCTAATTTATATTTTATCCTTGATTTCAGGAACCCTGTCTTCACATTGGTCATTTCCACAGTTTATGAATTCTGTATACTTTTTTTATATCTGGTATTTCTGTCTGATACCTTTTTGTGAATTCTTTATCTTTGGTAAATTTATCATTCATGTTTTGAAAGATTTTGTTAAGCTCTTCCAGTTTTTTATTTGTTTCCCTCAGATCCACCTTGGTCATTTTGTAGGATAATTCCATAAGCTTTTGGGTCATAGGTTCTTTTTTTAAAAATAGTTTTACTGAGAAACAAATAATGAGACAGTTTCAAAACCAATTAGTAAGATGGTTTCAATAATTAATACATTGCATATTGTTGTCATCTTAGTGGTTATTCATAGTATAAGATGAAAAGACATGATATCCTGTCCACAAACACTATTAAAACAATTCTTTCTATTCACTGAATTAAGAGAAAGTAGCTCTATATCTATCCTATTTTGAATATACAGATACATGGGTCATATGTTCTTTGAACTCACTGTTTCTTTCTCTAATCAGGTCATAAAGCTCCATTACCTAGTGTTTTCTTTTCTCTCCCTTAGTGTCTCCTGGATGTGCCTTGGGAGAATAGGGACCTTGGGGCTCTTTTGTTCCGTGTGTGTGTATGTGTGTGTGTGTGTGTGTGTGTGTATTTTTTTTTCAGTTTTTTTCCATTTTTTGATGTTGAAAGTTGAGGTCAAGCAGGGTGAAAGGTTATAATTATTATGAAGATCGTTTTAGTAAGATACTGCACTGATTCACTGATGTGTTTTCAGTTTTATCATCCAGAGATGATATTTAACCCTTTAGCTATTTAAGTGGTTTGGACTTTGTCCCTTTATTTTTTAGGGAGTGGGGTTGGTGGTGTGATGGGAATTGAATTCAGGGCCTTATGCTTGCCAGGCAGGCACTGTACTGCTAAGCTACATCCCTGGCCCCTGGCCCTGTGTTTTAAGGAAATAATTCTGATAACAGCATCAACAGAGCCAGTCATGTATCACTTATATGTCTGCAAGATGGAAGGGAGAATTTTTGAGACTGGTTTGTTTGGGATTTGAAGGGAATTTGATGTGGCTGCCTGTAATCAGACTGCACAGAAGGCAAAAAAGTAATTATATGAATACTCAGGCTTTTTAGCATAATAGTCACATGTGAATTGCACTTATATTCTCTTATTGCACTATATGATCTGAGTTCCTGCAGGTATTTTTTGGTTTGGGTTTTTTTTGCTTGTGTGCTGTTGGGATGCCTATAGGATTGGCTGACTTAGATTTGCTTTGTGAGAGTCAGTGGGTGATTCACTCTCTGGAAGGGATCTGCAGAGTTCAAGAATGGGAGAGCATGTCTGTGGGAATGCACAGGCCCTGTTCACTTGCTAATCCTCTCTCTCTGGGCAGGCAAGGCTGGTTTCCCTTAGGCTCTGTGAGTGTTGGTGAAGATGCTGCTGGGCTGTAGTGTTCCCTAGTTTGGAGGACAGGTGATAGAAGGGCCTGAAACAGCCTCTGTGCTTGTTTGTTCATTCATTCCTTCATCAGTTCTTCAGTTCATTCATACTTCATTTGAAATGGTCTCATAATAGCTGCTCCCCAAAAGGACAGGGGCTGAAATGACTACCAGCTGTTCAGCTCTGCTTTTCCTTAGAGTGATCCAGGTATTAGGTTTGATTTACATGTATTGCCTTTTTGACTAATTTTCTCATTCAGGGAGTAAGTTCTCCCCCATTACAGAGTATGTGTAGCTTCAGTGAATCCTCTCTGAGCACCTCCAATGCAACTCCTCTAGTCAGTCATGTTGGATCTCCATTTTGGTTATGTTTTGTCAGTCCACTATTATTAGTACTCTTTCCTCCCCTTCCCTCCCCTTCCCTCCTCTCTCCTCCCCTTTTGCCCTCTTCTCTTCCTCTTTTTCTTTCTTTCTGATTACACCAAGGACTTCACACTGAGCTACATCTGCAACTTTTAAAAAAAATTTTATTCTGAGACAGGGTCTCATAAGTCCCTAAATTGGCCAGGCTGGACTTGAACTTTGTATCTTCCTGCCTCAGCCCCTGGCACTGAGGGTAGAGTGTGAACCTGGTTGGTTTTGAGGTCTGACCAGGGAATTGGTGGAGCACACTTCTGGGTATATCTGGATGGACCATGGTGGTATGGGTTTTGGGTTGTGGTCCCTGGATCCTAATCACTTTTTCTGTTGTGTCTTTACCCTGTTCTGCTTCCCAGTCACCTTGAACTAAGCATTTTTGCTTTGTCACGCCCTTTTGCCATGATAGTTTTGCCTTTCAGCCAGCCAATCATAACTGAATCTCCAGAAACTAAGATCTGAATTACATGTTTCCTTCTTTAACTTATGGGGGTCAGCATTATGTACCTGTGACAGGACAGCTAATTATACAGCCTCCCAAAGTGCTGTAGGTATGTACCACCATCTGCTGCTGGCTTGGGATTTTTTTCTTCTTAACTCTTTCAGTTTTTCAGTTCTGGGGATCAAATTTAGGGCCTTGAGCATTCCAGGCAAGTGTTCTACCACCAAGCTACATCTCTAGCCTTGTTTCAGAGTTCTCCCTTGGGGTAGTTGTCCCATGGGAGATTGGTTCCAGGACACATACTTCAGTTCTGCAAAAAAATACCAAAATCTGTAGATGCCTTATACAAAGCCTCTCATATAAAATGATGTAGTATGTGCATTCTCCCATTTACTTTAAATCATCACTGATTATTTTTATACCTAATATATATATTAATATATATATTAATACAATATAAATGCTACATAAGTAGTTATTATTTTATATTTTAAAGGGAAAGTAATGGAGAAAAACCTGCTTATGTTCAGTACAGGCACAATTTTCCCAAAATATTTTCAGTGTGGGTAGTTGAATCCACAGATATAGAAGAGCAACTATATATAGAAAAACTGGCTCTTCATTCCGGAAAGCCATCTTCATGGCTAGACTTAGAGCCCCTCGACTCCCAATGATGGAAAATATAATTTAGTGTCTTTATTTTCACCGTGGGTTGCATTGAAAGTGGTAGATTGGAATCAACTTGATGGGATTCCAATAACATAACTTTGGGATTACAAATATTGGCTTCTTGGACCGAGATGAGGTCCTGGAAGTGTCTCCTACAATTGGCACTCAACATGGCCGGAACATGCGACCTTCTCAAAACAACGACCACTTAACAGAATCACGTGCAGGCAATCCACTGGACCTTGCATGGCCAATTTAGAGAAAATCAAGAGATATTACGATCATCAGAGCAGTTTCATGGCCAGAATCCAACCCATCTACACAACACATCAAGCTCTCTCCTGAGACCTCAAGAAATGAACCTGAGAGCACATCCTCCAGCTTCCCAGGAAGGCCTGCAGCAGACCATTCATGAGGCTTGCCACCTAGTCAACTGCCAGGTGTGTCGCAGAGGACTCTCAGCCCAGCAACCGCTATGGGCTATACAGCCAGAACTGACACTGCTCCAGCTTCTTCAAAGCAAAGAAGGGGGAACTGTGGAGGACCACCTGAGCAACTCTCCTTGAAAGAAGAGTGACTGTCTCCATTTTAACTGAGCCTGATCCTATTTTCTCGTATTGTTATGTACAGAGCTGGCTAGGACTTCTGTTTATCCTTCAGTTGGCCTTAAGCAAAGTGTATTGGTCTAGCTGAGGTGCTGGTGATAGTCTTTGAAGGTGGCCTGAGTGTTTCCCTGGTAACCTATACCTGCTGCTCTTTAATGTGAGCCTGGACACAACAGGATGAAGAGCTAATGCTCCAATTAGCTCTGCGTGGCCAGCTGGGATCAGCCTCGAGATAGAGGCTATGACTTCCTGGGGCTTGAAAGACTACATCAAAGCTGAAGCACCAGACTTACCAAAACATTAAATACTACAGATTACTCTCTCTGCATAGCCTCTCTGCATATCACAGAGGTAAATGTAGGCCACCCACCTAGCTCAGCTCACAGTAGTCACCTACTTCCCACAGTTCTCAGTCAATCCTCCTCAAGCCACTCCTCCACTGAATAAAACCAGGTGAGGCCCTGGGTCGCTCTCTTGGTTCTGGAAAGCCATGGCTAGACTTAGAGCCCCTTGACTCCCCGATGATTAAAAATATTAAAAAAAAAAAAAAAAAGAAAAAAGAAAGAAAGAAAAAGAAAGAAAAACTGGTGATTGATGAGCACTGTTGTTTTCCTTTCCCAGAGACTGGGGGAGTGGTCTTTAGAAAAAAAGTTTAAAAAAACCCCAACAAAGCCTGAAATAACCCATTTAGAGATGGGTGTGAATAAGACTTCTTCAGAGTGGCATAAAAATCCTCCCATGACCCCTCTCCTAACTTTGCCTGAGGAGGTGGTGGTGATGAAGAGAATTAGAAGGAACCTGCTCTTTTTGCTAAGACTAAAGTCTGGGAACAGCTCCAGCCCATTTTATAAACAGGATCAGGACAGTTTCTGACCACCTTCATTAAGCTGCACATTGTCCCTGGGGCTGTGAGTGCCCTTGAACCTCCGACTTCCCTGTCTTCAGGATGTGTGGTTGGAGGACAGAGCAGAGAGGATGGAGCGCAGCCCTCACTTCATAGAGCCCAAGTGGTAGGAGGAGAATTAGATGGAGAGCTACTCACATCCACCTTCAGAGCCTTAGGTCCTGAAACCTCTTGTTCTGGGCACCTGACTGTTGCTCCCAAGGACCCATTACCTTTCTAAGTTTTGTAGCCCTCTCATCCTTCTGAATAACACAGTTGTTTCAAGGCCCCTCTTGTCTGTCAGGGCAATTTTTCTGGCACTATCACCTATCTCAGCCCTCACACCCTGGTTTTTATTTTTCTGGCCCTTGCCCCTAAACTCCGTGTGGTTAACTGACCAGCATCCCCTCAGCAGACAGAACACACTCGGTTCCAGATGCCACTAGCCCTGGTCACCCATCCTCCATCGTTATAAATGCCATTATCATCCTCACTTCTCAGACCAAATGCCTTATAGCCATCTCTGAATCCTCTTTATTGTACTTTCCAAAATGAACCTCTTTTTAGGATCCCAAGCTGTTCCTTAGCCCTGGCCTCCTCTATCCGTGCCCTGGATTTTGGAGATATCCCTAGTCCACTGCCTTCCCTGGCCCTTTCCGTGGGCAGTTGGAGCATGTGGCTAAAGCTGGGGTCATATCTGGTCCCTTTCATGCCTTAGACCTGTCAGTGCCCTCTGCTCCTGCGTGCTCTGCCTGAGGAGCAGACTTGATTTTGTGATCTGCAAGCTTGCCTGCCCATCCTGCCTTTGGGTCCCTCACTCCTCTGGCTTGTTCTATTGTATCCACACTCGGTTTCATTGCCACTGTCCTTCAGGGCTTGCCCCCACTATCTGGCTCCTTATCTCAAGTGGGCTATACACCTCCCTCTTGGTTGTCTCCAGATGTCCCCTTCCTGCCAGGGCTTTCCCTGGCCACCCTGTTTAAAAAGTCCTCTCAAACTGCTACTCATACTGTTTTGTTCTCATTATTTGTCAGTGTCTGTAGCTTACATCTTGTCCATAGCCCTTACCATTCACTGTTGGCATTGTTGGGCCAACAGAAGAATGAGTAGTCTCACTGGTCCAGGCACCAGGTTGTCCTTCCTGGCCTGCATATTGCTTACCAAGTATGAGCTGGTACCCCCTTGCTCTTTCCAGTACTTGACTGTCTTCTAGGCCACCCCTCTGCTTCTCCTGGGTACCCCTCATGCCTCCGTACAGAAAGGGGTCTGGCTGAGTGTGGCCGGGCCATGGGAGTAGCTTGGACTGTGGAATTGCAGGCTTTATGTCTTAGACCTGTCTCCAGCTTCTGCTTGCCTCTCTGGATCACTGGATCTGGTTAATAGGGTGAAGGCATTATCCTGGGCCTGTGTAGGATGAAGAAAAAAGGGGGCCTTCCAGAGCCAGAGCCCCAGCTCTACTCTTACCAACTTAGAGGCCCCAAGCAAGCAACCTGACCTCCTCAACCACAGGCAGTTATCGGGATTGTTAAAGACTCTCCAGGATGGGTCCTGTCCAGAACCCACAGGGTATCAGGAACATCCCAGGACCCATTATATTTTACCCTGCCCAGCACCATGAACTAGAATGAAAAAACCTAGCCTGGGAAAAAGTTGAAAGGAAACACTCCAAACACTAATGTGGCTGAGTGCTGAGAAGTGGTGTTAGGAGTGCCCCCCCTTTTTTTTTCATACTTCACTCAGTTTCTAAATTGTATCTAATGGATGTATATTCTTTTTATAATTTAAACAATAAGCTTTGCGTAGTATGGTAGCGGTAGCCAGTGAGGTTCATCTGAGGCATGATTATTGCTAATTGAAACAGTAATCTCCTGTGCTTCCCAGAGCAGCTGATATTTGCTTGTGCTGTACTTGCAGTTTATGCGGGAGATGGCAGGGGCCTGGCACATGACAGTGGAACAGAAGTTTGGCCTGTTTTCTGCAGAGACAAAGGAAGCAGACCCCCTGGCAGCATCAGAAGCGAGTCAGCCTAGACCCTGCCCCCCGGAAGTCACCCCCCACTATATCTGGATTGATGTATGTACCTGCCCCTGTGTTCTGTTATGCTGCCACCTAGATGGTGGGGGGCCAAGGCTTTGCCTAGGGCCACTAGCCTGCGGGATGTGACTGAGAGAGAGGGTATGAGGGCTTTAGTGCTCTCCCATTTCCAGTTGACCTCCCTGGGCCTGGAGTCAGGATGGCTCAGCTCTGTTACCATAGTGTTTTTCTTCTTGTCTCACCAGTTCCTGGTGCAGCGATTTGAGATTGCCAAGTACTGCAGCTCTGACCAGGTGGAGATCTTTTCCAGCCTGCTGCAGCGCTGCATGTCCCTAAACATTGGTGGGGCCAAAGGAAGCATGAATCGGCATGTGGCAGCCATCGGACCCAGATTCAAGTGAGTGCTTCACTCCTCGGGGGGATGGGGGTACCTGTCACTGGCATTGGAGCATGAGTTTATCATGTCAGACAGTATGAGAGATGTGTGTGTCATGGCACTTCCATATAGTCTGAAAAATACCTTGCATAGCTTTCCCAAAATAATCACCATAAGCTTGTCAGAGACATCCTTCCAGACTGCATGGAAGCAGAGAGCTTCTGGCTGGTTATAGCATCCCCCACCTCAGTTCCTCTCGTCTGGCCCTTCTTCCTAGTACTTGGTTTTTGCCAACCTCTGTTCCAGGCCTATGGTGTCCAGTGTCTGCCCTTGTCTAGTCACAGTTCAGGCCCTTGCTCCTGTTGCCTGTTCCATCTGCCCATCCCTGAGCTCCAAACCATGGCCCTTAAACCTTCAGGCCACCTGTTGGGGGCCATGCTTCTCAACCAGTTGCAGGGAAGGTCCAGTTTTCTTTTTGTTCATATCCAAGCTGTCAGGACCTATGCTTTTAGAAAATACAACAGGACCTACATTACTAGGAAGGGATCTGCACTTGACCATCCCAGCAGTGTGCAATAGTCTTAGCAATGAGCAGGCACTCCCTCTCTGCCTGCAGAGACACTTGGTGAGCAGCTGACCTGGATGGGGGGTGCGCCACTTTCAAAAACACACATAGGCAGGTCACCTGGCCCACACAGCTTCTCCTCCTGTCCTCCCTTGCACAGGTCAGGCTGGGATTTGTGGGCCTCCTGTCTCAGAGTACAGGGATTATAGGCAGGCCCCCCCCTTATTTTTAAACTTGAATTAAATATTCTTCCTTTGTCACTCCTTCAGGTGACTCTACCTCAGAAACTAATCTGCAGATATTTTGTTTATTTTTTTTTTTGCGGAACCAGGGATTGATCTCAAGTCCTTGTGCTTGCCAGGGAAGCGCTTATTCCACTGAGCCATCTCCCCAGCCCTAGTTTATTTTTATTTTAAAGAAAAAACCCCCAAAACAAATAACAACATAGATAATAACAAAGCAACATAGAACAATAAAAATGGTACAGAATTTCAAAACAAGAATAGAAAATTAACAGTGGTTGTTATATTATGTATTGTTATCGTCAAATTTGTTGTTCAGATTCTAGATAGTTTATGAGGTTGAAGTTTCTGACCCTGATAGACTAGCATACAAGTTGTTCATTTTACTGTATATAAAACTGAAGGTAGGTTCAATAAAATATATCTTAGCAGGGTCTTTTAACCCCAGCATTCTGGAAGACAGAGGTGGGAGGATCACATGTCTGAGCCCAGTCTAGGCAACTTATTTAGTGAGATCCTATCTCAAGATGAAAAATAAAATTAAGCTGTGTGTGGTGGCACTGAGGTAGGATCAACATAAGCTTGAGTCTTGCCTAGGCTACATAGTGAGTTCACAGCCAGAGAGAAGAGAGAGATTAATGAATGTTAAAAGGGTCCAGGGATGTTAACTTAGTGTAAAGGCCGTGGGCTGAATCCTCCATACCATTAAAAAAAAAAAAAAAAAAAAAAAGATTCCTCTCCTTGACAGGGCAAAGTTACACTTCTGGGGTAAATTGCTTACTTAGCATGGGCAGATCCAAGGGTTTGATACCCAGTGTTACAAAAAAAAAAATTATTTCCTGAGATTTTTTTTCAGGTACAAGAAATTTATGACTGGTAATTGCCTGGCTGATGCTTCTGCCTCAGCTCTTCCATCCAGACACATGCCTTGATCTCAGGGGCTGTGAGGTTTGCTTGGGTGCCTGGCACCCCTTGAGGCTCAGCCCTAGGCTGTTTCCCACTCTGACTAGGCCTGGTGCTCTCTCTCAGACTGCTGACCCTGGGGTTGTCCCTTCTGCATGCTGATGTTGTTCCAAATGCAACCATTCGCAATGTACTCCGTGAGAAGATCTACTCCACCGCCTTTGACTACTTCAGGTACCTGCCAGTGTACTGAGTGTGTGTCCAGGGACAGCCCCACTCTGCAGACTGTTGTCACAGGAGGTCACTCATAGAACAACACAGTTTGTATTGTTCATGCTCACTGACCTGGTTGTTCAGTAGTCCTGGGGTTGCAGTATTTGAATAGCCTTAGGCCCGTGGTGTGTGTGTGTGTGTGTGTGTGTATATATATACGTATGTACTTTAAGACTCCCAAGGTGTATGCAGTTTTTCCCTTACTTCAACTAATTTAAAAGATAAAATGCAGCTGTACACTGTGGTGTGTTCCTGTTGTCCCAACAGCTCAGGAGACTTAGATGGAAGGACTCCTTGAGCTCAGAAGTTTGAAACCAGTCTGGGAAATGGGATGGGGCAATTTGGGTGGGAGGGTAGGGGCACTGCGATGGGAGGGTGTGGAAATAGAGAAAGAGAGTAGAATATGCCTGGAGTTGTTACTGTACATAGCTCAGTTGTCATGATCAGCCTTAAGTTCACCATTCACCCAGAAGCTATAGCCATTGCACAGAGGGCAGGGCAGGAGAGTGCTCTTAAAACCACTGCACTTTTCCTTTGCCATTAATGAGATCATCTTTGCTGATGACCAGTTCTGGACCAACTTTTTTTTTTTTTTTTGCGGAACCGGGGATTGAACTCAGATCTTTGTGTTTGCCGGTCAAGCGCTTATCCTACTGAGCCATCTCCCCGGCCCCTGGGCCAACTTCTTAACATTAAGGGACCACTTATGTCACCTCTCACTGCATTATAAAACTGGCAACTAGTTCCTTACCCCAGACACTTAACTCTTGTCCTCTGTGATTGTTTGCAGTTGTCCCCCAAAGTTCCCTACTCAAGGAGAAAAGAGGCTGCGTGAAGACATAAGCATAATGATTAAATTCTGGACAGCAATGTTCTCAGATAAGAAGTACCTGACAGCCAGCCAGCTCGTTCCCCCAGGTGAGCATTGCTACCAACAGTGGAGCTGTGTAGGAGAGCTGGGGCAGGACAGGGGTACACCATGGACACCTCTGTTGGAGCCAGGCAGAGGAGTAGTTAGGATCCACCTGTATGTGTCCATGGCCATACTTCATGCTGTTGGAGGCCTGTTGCCTGTCTGCCTACTATTTCTTCTCTGGCCCAGGATGAGGCCCGCGATAAACATAAGAGGCCCTGAGCAGATGCCTTGCATTACAGTTTCTTCCACACCAGCTCTGTGCACCAGCGTCTGCTGAATGCCTCATGTGGCAGCATCAGACTGAGGCTAGAGTGCCCGGGTGAATACAGCACAGTCCAGTGCCATCTGTTACGAAGCAGTCAGGTGGTGGTAACATCAGAGAGAGGGCCATGGAGCACCCCTCAAGGACAAGCACTTGTCCCAGGAAAGCTGAGGAATTGAATCTGTTTTTGAAAGCAGTGACATTTGGTCTGATTCTCAAAGGATGCAAAGAAGATGTCCAAGGTGGATAGTGACATAGTTTTTCAGAGCAAGAGAACACAGTGTTCCACAAGAAACACTGAAGCTTTTATTGGGAGCAAACCTCTAAACAGAAACCACATTCCTGATCTACTGAGCATGTAGCTGCTTCCAACCACACATTAGGAGGCAGGACAGGGGTTTCTGTGAGCAAACCCACGGCTGACCACTTGTAGGAAAGGAAAAAATCATTTAGAAGCAGACAGCATAACTTTTTATATACTTTACTTTTTGCACTAATATATTGTTTATGCAGATTAATGAGTTCCATTTTAGTAGATGCATATGCACACATAACGTACTTTGGTCATACACCTCACTGTCTTATCCCATTTTTGGGGAAGGGCTTCCTAGTGTGTATCTTGCTCATATCCATCCCATTACAGCCCTCTTTCTCCTGTTACTGACATCCTCTTTTCTAGTAGTAATGCTCCTTCTACTTGTCATCTTTTTCAAATTCCACATATTAGAGAGAGCATGCATTGTTTGTCTCTACAGAGTGTACCTTCTAGTGAAAATTCAATTTTTTTTTTTTTTTTTTTTTTTTTTTCGGAACTGGGGATTGAACTCAGGCCCTTGCACTTCCAGGGAAGCATTTATTCTACTGAGCCATCTCCCCGGCCCTCAAATTTCTTTTGGGGATGTCATTTTTTGAACTGTTCATCCCACAATCCATGATGTTTTTGCCTACAGATAATCAGGATACTCGGAGTAACCTGGACATAACCGTGGGTTCTCGGCAACAGGCCACACAGGGCTGGATCAACACATACCCCCTGTCCAGTGGCATGTCAACCATTTCCAAGAAGTCAGGTTGGTGCCAGATTGCTTCTATTTGTGTCATACAAGTCTCCATTCTAGTGACCTGATGAATGCTCAGATAGTGGAACCAAAAGCTTCTTGTAGGGTCTACAAACAAGGTAATCAGAAGACCTCCAGCGACCACATCTATGCTTTGTCTTTTTTTCCTAGGGATGTCTAAGAAAACCAACCGTGGCTCCCAGCTCCACAAGTACTACATGAAACGCCGCACATTGCTGTTGTCCCTGCTGGTAAGAACCATGGCTGGAGCCACAGCTTGGGGCAAGGGTAGCATGTGGGTACCTGCAGAAGGTGCATTGGGCATTGTGTCTGGTCTTGCCAGGCTACTGAGATAGAACGTCTCATCACTTGGTACAACCCGCTGTCAGCCCCAGAGCTGGAGCTGGACCAGGCTGGAGAGAACAGCGTAGCCAACTGGAGGTCCAAGTACATTAGCCTGAGTGAGAAGCAGTGGAAGGACAATGTGAACCTTGCCTGGAGCATCTCTCCTCACTTGGCCGTACAGCTGCCAACCAGGTGAGTTCCTGAATCACCCCAGCCTCTTAAGAAGTTCAGTGTATGACCCTGCTGGCTGTGTCCTATGTGCTAGGGAACAAAATGTGGCCTTCACATTAGGACATGTGGGAGGTCATCAGATATGCAGACTTCTAATCCAAGACACTCGATGCAGAGGTTATGGTGAGCCTTTTGCTCTTGTCAGAGTCCTAGTTGGGGTGACAGAGCACCCGAGAACCTGAGGACATAATGTCAGTGAATTTAGGGCCACTACCAATTCATGAATATTACTGCTTCAGGGAAATGGACTGCAGAAACAGGCTGGTGGAGGAAAGGCTTTGTGCTTATTCCTGGAAGTCATCTTTCAGTATAGGCTGCTCAGAGGAGGCTCATGCTATAGCTGGCAGCCCTGTGGGGGCTCCACAGAGATAAAACTCTTAGACTAATAGCTTAGAAGGACTGCAGAGGGCCCTGTGACACAGTCCCGGTAGAATGTCCCCTACCCCTGTGGATATACCTGTAGCAGATGTTTCTTCAGCCCAAACTGGCCTCTTTAGTACTTACTTGTCTTGTATTGTTTCAAAGTACAGTGCTTATGGAAAGTGTTCCTTTCATTAGCATGGTAGAAAAAATGAAAATTCATATCTGCCCTCTCACTGGATGTTTCTTGTGGCCTTGGGCTGTGGACTAAGACACTAACCTGATGTGAAATGTTGTGGCACATGCCCATAAGCCTAGGACTCAAGAAGCTGAGGCAGGAGAGGCATTGCAAGTTAGAGGCCGGCTTGAGCTACACGGTGAATTCAAGACTAGCCTGAATTACATAACAAGATGTCTCAAAACAACTAAAAATATATATAACGATAGACACTAATAAGAAGGACCAGGGTAAAGGAGTGCAGTAGTGAAAAGGAGTAAAAGGCAGGGTTTTAAAGACAAGGACTCAACAAAGAGATCTTGTAAATGCTGAGTATGGGTTAATTCCTGTTCAAGAAAGTTCCTGCATTTTCTCATAGTTGACCTGTTAATGCTACTGTTTTTCAAACACTTGTGTTCAGAGTAATGTATTAGTAGCAGAGAACATTTAAATGTCACTAGAGGGCTCTGAATCCTTGCAGTTCAGCATTTCTCTTTCAATCCCCTTCCATGGAAGCGAGGGAATGTTTGCTAAATCCACCCTGCCTGTATCCTGTGTGCTATAGGTTCAAGAACACAGAAGCCATTGGGAATGAAGTGACCCGTCTTGTTCGGTTGGATCCTGGAGCTGTTAGTGACGTCCCTGAAGCTATCAAGGTAGCGTAGCCCCCACCTGGACTGGGTTCAAACCGAATCTAGAACTTGGCCCAGGATACAGGGACACCAGAGCCAGACAGAAACAGCACCTGAGTGACCTCAGTCAGAAGTATTTTCACGTCCTGCATTTTCTGCTTCTCATATGTTACATTTATTATATTTATTTATTTTAAATTTATTTATTTTGTGTGTGGCCAGTTCAGCCCACCAGGGGGCGGGGCTGGCTGGCATGTGGTGCTGGGGGATTGAACCGCGGTCCCTGTGCTTTGCTTAGCTTGTTCTAAGTAGGTGCTTTAGACCACTGAGCCATCTCACCAGCCCATTTATTATATTTATGGTAGGAAAATTTTAATGTACTTTAACTGTAATACAGTGTATCAGAAACATTTTCTGCATAGTTATAAATGGTTTGTGGTTATCACTTTTTATGTCTATCCTTGTAACTTGTGCTATGGGCCGGATATTCCCAGATGGACTCCAGGGACTGCCTGAGCCATTCATCTCCCCTCTTCCTCTCTAGTTCCTTGTGACCTGGCACACCATCGATGCTGATGCTCCAGAGCTCAGCCACGTGCTATGCTGGGCACCCACAGACCCACCCACAGGCCTCTCCTACTTCTCCAGCATGTATCCTCCACACCCCCTCACAGCACAGTACGGAGTGAAAGTCCTTCGGTCCTTCCCCCCGGTGAGTCTTGGGGAGCACTGCTCAATGGAGAGAGAGGATACAACTTCACATTCAAGGAAGGAGGGACCCAACTGTGCCTGTCCACCCTAGAATATACCTCCCTTCCTCATTTTTGTTCAAGGAGTTATAGAAGATGGATTTAGTTCTAATTCACATGCTTTTTTTTTTTTTTTTTTTTTTTTTTTTTTTTGGATTGAACTCAGGTCCTTGCGCTTGCCAGGGAAGCACTTATTCCACTGAGCCATCTTCCCAGCTCACATGCATTTTCTAGTTGTATTTGTTTTT